AAGTCATATTCACAATTGATGGTCGATGAGCAATCAAACATAATTGACTTTTATCCACATAGTAAGTTTTATGTTAAGAATCCAAAGCATTCAAAATGTTAATGCTTTCTATTTTCTTCATCTTATTTATCTTGCTTTGAATTTGTAGATTTTGAAGTTGACACGGATGGAAAGCGGTTCATGTGGCAGGTTTTATTTATCTTTCGACTTTCACTTAATAGAATCATCAAAATCTTTTTTTCCCATGCAGTGCAGTATGCTAACAGAACCATCAATTGTGTCACAGGGCACGTTGAAACTTCCATTTATAGATGAAGCGCGGCTTTTGACTGAATCAAGAAAACTCGAGAAGGAGTTAACTGTATGGTTTACTTATAGGTTTTCAATAACAAGAATTCATTTTTTTTTTCAGATAAAAAAAATTGAACTTTTCTTTCGTAGATGCTAAAGGAATATCCTCGAACCTCGATTCCTCTGTTGTGTCTTTTTCAGGAAGAAGAAGCAATTAGGAATTCAGTAGGTTCAGACCTACTGTTTGTTGCAGGATCTACCAAGCTAGCGGCGAAGATTAGATCTTCCCGGCAAAATGTAGCAAATAAGATTGAAATAAGCATAAGGTTCGTTTGTGGATTGTTGTATTAATGCTATAATTGATGAGATCCCTTGAATCCCATGACTTGACCCTTCTCATCATTCTTGAATAGTGATGGAATCGGGGGTTTCGTAAGACTCTGCACTGAGGATGTTAAGGTAGATTTTGAGTCTCAGGAGGATTGTGCCATGTATGATCTCAAAACATGTCCTATTGTCCATTCCTTTCCTTAATTCAAATTCATGTTTCAACTTTTTCCAACTTGATGTTATTGTATTCTGCAGATGTGCTTATTATGAGCTGCCAGGTGGTGGTAAACGTATTCCTGGTTTACTTCATGGCCTGAACCTACCGGAAAAGGTAAGAAATAGCAGACGTTATCTGGTTTAACAGAAGTTGGCACTTTTGCGATTAATTTTTATGAAATTATGCAGACAATCTCTGGTGATGATATTATGGAAACCGCACTCTGGCATGAACGGTATTACCTCTTCTTTTGCCATCTTCCTCCCTTTCGTTTTAATCCTCTCGGAAGGGTAAGGAAATTAGGAATCGGGTAGGAAATAGTTGTATGTATATAATTTTGAGGAGCTTGAAAATGCAGGTCCCAATATGAAAGCAAGTTTAGAAATGCCAACAATTACCATAATACATGGAAAACTAACGAAGGTGGTAGCAGCAGAAACGCAAACAGCAATTACAATAATACATGGAAAACTAACGAACGAAGTAGAAGCAGCTTTGGATCCTCCTCATATGGTAGCGTCATTTACAAAGGTGGAGGTGTTGGATGGAGTTCAGGTTCAGGTAGGGGCACTCCCAGTGCTGACGTGGGACTTGATCGGAAAATGCAGTCACTGGTAGTATCACATCCCCAATCCAATCAAACCCCCAGTCGTAGTTCTGGAACAGTGTCGTTTCCGGCATCCAGCAGAAACAGTTCCGCGTATCAGTTCAGCAGTAATAGCAGTAATCATGGGTTTCAAGCTGACGCGAAACCTTTTGTTTGGGGTCGAGGCAGAGGCTCTCATGCCTCCGATCGTGTAAATTCCTGGAGGAAATCTTGAAATGGATTTCCTAATCAAACATGAAAATCTCGGGGGTAAAAGTTGAAATGTTGTTTCAGGTTTCTCTACGCAAATGACTGCCTTTTTGACTTAACTGTTGCTCTTATATGAAAACTTTGCTCTTGCTGGACTGAAAGCTGAAAAGAATGGTCCCCGCTTGATTTAAAGAAGCGTTCTGGTATATTTAAAAAGGAAGTTTAAACAAAGTTTAGATAAGACCCAGTTTAGATTCCATAAGTAGAACAAGTAGTTTATTCAGAACCACGAAGATTCATGGCCGATACAGACTTGTTAACTCACATACGAATGCGGGGACGATATGATCATCGAACTTGGCTCGGATTATAGCTATTGCGTCACCGGACTTTTTGGGGATCATGAACATTGTTCCTTCACATATTGATGTGAGTGTGACCTCAGTTTGAGTTCTTTAGTTTAATTCGGGGAAAAAAATCCACGACGGCAATACATGTATGGTATAACATATTAAGAAGCATTAATTAAACCTTAAAACTTAGTTTCTCCTATGAATTTTCTGAAGACCGAAGTTATTACTTCTGGTTTGGATATTTGAATATCTCTCTTAATCCCGACAGGTAAAATTTACATTTTTGAGTGACGTCAAGAAAACATATCAATATTTCGATTGGAGCTTACGTTGAAATGATAAGCGTACACTTGGGGGGGTGGGGAATTGATAATAGACAGGATGAAGACAGCGATTGGCAAAAGAAATAGAAAGAAAATGCATAAAAGGCACCTAGAAAATAATATGTTCCGTGGGTTAAACGTCAACTCTTCCAGGAGTCTTGTGATTGTTTCTATTCATTTAGAAGTTGTTATTCTGTTTTATGATTTAAAAGTCATCTGCACGGCATCCATTCATCCACGGCAGCATGCATTAATCTTTTAAATTTTGTTTATTCTGGGGTTAGGAAGATTTTTTTTAGCCGGTTTACAGAGAGAGATAAGCATTGACTCTAAAAGCCATAAATCATTAAAATATCAAACTCTTCCTTCATATGGGCGTAGGAGGAGGCACTATTACTTGAAATAAAAAAACAACATATCACATTATAATCAAACACTGAAAATCTTATAATACAGAATGCCTTCTCTGGAGGATTGCTCGTATAATGATGAATCCCTTGCGGAGCTTATAAGGTCAACACAAATGGCTTCATAAAACGCTTCCGACGCCTCTCTGAGTCTGCAACTCACAGCTTGCTATGTAAGTTTCATCTCAATTCTCACTCTATCTTCCTGCACACCTTCCCACATGTTAATATATATCTGAGACAAAAACACAAAGCCAGAGTGTCCAGTAATCTCAGTCATCTCAGTTAATGAGTAGGAATAATAAAAGGAACCTGCTGAGAAGCATTTTCAGAGCAAATGGAGGGTGTGGCAATTGTGGCAACCCGAAGCCCTTTGACATATACGACCCTACACCTAAGCCTAAAATCTGCTGCCATCCAAATCCAGATCCTCCGACCACCGTAACTTCATCGGCATCCATTCCCCAGTCGGTCTCGGCGGAGGATTCCATGAGCGGGAAACTGAGCGGCAGCGTCGTGGTGGAGATGAAGTCGGAAAACCCATATAATGACTTCAAGGACACCATCATCCAAATGATGATGGAGAGAGAGATTTACTCAGCGAGTGAGGTGAGAGAGCTTCTCCAGTGGTTTCTTAAGCTCAATTTGCCATGTCATCACCAACTCATCCTCAGGGCTTTCGCCGATATCTGCCAACAGGCTTCGCCTCCCTCATGACTCCGCCATGCTCCTGTCAACCAACAAGCTCCATCAAAACGTTCATCTGTCTCGTGAATCGCCTCCTCCACATCATCATCCCCTCTCCATCGATTATTTCAATATTATGTACTGTTGGATATATGTGTTGGGTGACAAAACAATAAAATCATTTTTACTTCTTTTTTTTCTTTTCCTGGAGATATCTACGCGAGTACCCCTTTTAAACTTTGATCATGCGCTATTCAACACTGACAGAGAAGCCACAACTTGAAATTAGGGCGACAATTAATGGAGTTTGTCTTCGCCAAAAGCAATGGGTGATGTTAAGAGAAATTAAAGAGCTTCCAATTAGTGTAAATAGATTTCTTATCTCAGAGCTTGTATCCTTGTACTTGACTTGTTCCGGCGGTGTGCTATGGATTTACGCCGAACATGGTTTGGTTTGTGCGTAAACCTTCAGCTTGTCAAAATAAATAAATAAATAAATAATCTGCATGACGAAAGATAACAGGAGCATTGCATATATAAAGATTTATAATTAAGCGAATCTGCCAGCTGTCAATATACTACGTCATTGTTGGTACTAAATCGTTTTTCCTACTTTGAATCGCTCACTTTATTTGTGCACACCATGCATTAATTTATTTACACGTCCATCCAATTTTTTATTATTTTTTAAATGAGAAAAAAAATCATTTTTAAGAGAGTTTTTCCTTCCCCATTGATGTTGACAACATTCAAACATAAAAGGGAGGCATGATTTCTCCAAAGTCGTTATTATGAACTTTTTTCGCATTAATTTTTGTTGCGAAACGACCATATGCTACCCTTATGCAAAAGAAGGGGAAAAAAACTGCATCCAAATGAAAATCTACTTGTAGATTATCAAAATCACTTCTCTCTCACTTTTTGGGTGTTTGGAAAATACAAAATTAGTTAAGCTGACACAAAATCATAAAATTCATAAGCCTCCAAGCTCATAAAATCCTGAAATTCTAAAATTTGAGACCTGAAATAATCATGAACCTTAAAATGCATAATCTCTAAAGCCTAGATCCTATAAAACTAAACATTTATTTTGAAAACTACTACCTCCAGTCATAATTATAAGAACTAGTTGACTAATTTGAGGAGATTAAAAAAAAAAGTTAAGTTAGTTATTTGTAATAAATATGTGTTATCTTTCCTAAAATATTCTTACTAATCAAGTATAGTGGCTAGAACTGTCATTGTTAGAAGGATTACGTTAAAAAAATACATAAATATGATAGAAAAAGTGGATTGTGGTCTTATATTTAGGATCAAAATAAAAGTCAAATATGATCTTATATTAAGGATAAAAAGTAGTATAATGATAACCTAATTAGGCCCTAACATGTTCAAATCTAAAAACAGTATGAAATCCTTTTTATCTTATGCCCCTCAGAGAGCAGATTTGTCTTCAAAGATCAGGATGACTGAAAGTTGTCTTCTGCCCTAAAAGGCTAAAACCAAATAAATAGGAAATTAGATATCTCTTCAAAAAGTAGTTGGGACGTCTTCCTCCATTCTCTCTATGCAAAATTCATAGCTTGTGCTGGGAAAATGGCGCTCGTGCTTGCTGGGAAAACACCGTTGATTCCACCGTCTCAGGAAGAGGATGACTTGCTGGTGCGAAGTTCGAAGAAGATCAAGAATGGGCCCAAAGATAGTAGTGACAATATCCTCAGGGGCCACTGGCCAAAGGCAGGGTCGAAGAGTTCTGAATATAATATTGGAGGGCCCTCGTTTGCAGAAAAGCTGAAAGGTGTAGATAGAAACAATGATCATTCTGATGATGACATTGAGAATGCGGACGAGGAAGATTCAGACGATTCTATGTCTGAAGGTTCTCAACAAGCTATGGAACAGGAGAAGGATGAACCATTATGCAGAACAATAGAGGATCCTAACAAGAACTTCCCTATGTTTTCTTTTTCTGGGAAAATGAAGAAAAAGTTGTATAGAGCTTGGAGGAAGGCAGTGATAGTTAAGCTCTTAGACAGGTCTATTGGTTATAAAGCTCTCCAGTCACGTCTGCAATCCTTGTGGGCAAAAAGAGGTGTCATTAACCTCATTAATATTGGTTATGGCTTCTTTGTTGTGAAGTTATCAAATCGAGAAGATTATTTTAATGCACTTACAGGAGGCCCTTGGATGATCTATGATCATTATCTAACTGTGAGACCATGGGAACCAAGGTTCCAACCAGCTAGAGCAACCATAGACAAGGTAGCAGTTTGGGTCAGGATGCCAAGGGTGTTCTTAGAATGCTATGATGAGGAGGCCTTAACAATTATTGGTAATCGAATTGGAGAAACTATTAAAGTGGATATGAATACCTCTTGTCAGCTAAGAGGTCATTATGCTCGTATTTGTGTTCTAGTTGATTTGGGGAAGCAGTTAATGTTGGGATTTTCATTAGATGGAGAGGAGTATTACCTTGAGTATGAGGGGCTCCATATGCTCTGCTCAAATTGTGGTATTTATGGGCATAAAAGTGAAGTTTGTCCAAAAAGAGAGAAAGAACAAAGAGCAGAAGGAAATCCAAATCCAAGGGCAACACAAATGAATCCAAAAGAGCAGGAAGGTGTGGTTATTCATGAAAGCAAAATTACTCAAGACCAGTGGCGGGTGGTTCATAAACCTCGCCGGCAAAGAAGAGTGAAAGAGAACAGGGGAGAAGCTAACCGGTCAGAAAAGGCCGGTTCTCGATTCGGGGTTCTAGCTGACGTGGAAGAGCAATGGCATGAGGCAAAGCATAACGAGAACGTACGGGATGAGGTTGTGTATTCCGTACCTGAGACACAGAAATGGGCACAACACACTAATGCTGTACGAGCTTCAAATGGAAAGAAAAAAAGCACAGGGAGAAGACAGCAGGAAAGAGAAAATGTTGAGGGAGCGGCAACATGGGAAGCAAACGAGAAGTTAAAGGAGCAAGTGATTTCGAGGGAGACAAATGAGAAATTAAAGGAGATGGAGGTAAGTAGAAAGTGTGAGAAGAGGACAAGGGAGATGTTAGGGCATGAAATGAGAAGCAATGAAATTCTGATGATCACTATGGAAGAATGTAACGAAAAGACAAATGAGGGGAAGAATATACCGGAGGGTGAATTAGTGGAACGTGAGGTTGTGAACATGATGGATTTGGGCCCAGGAGACAAAGCCCAACGTCCAAAGTCCTTCACTAATTTGGATGGGATTAGGATTGAGGAGGTGGATCCAGGTGATCCTAGTATTAGGCCTCCTTTTAACAATCCAACGAGCTTGATGCAAGAGGATGACTATGTCGAGAGTACGATGGTACCTGAGACCCAATTCTCTAATGGGTTTTAATTGAGCTGCTCTATTTCAAACTATTCATTTGTTTTATATGGATAGTCTCTTATATTGGAACACAAGGGGAGCCTGTAGTAAGGGGCTTCTCAGAAATCTTAAAGCTGTGTGTGAAGGGCCCAAGCCCATTTTAATAATTTTGGCAGAAACAAGGTGTGAAGATCAAACAAAATTTCGCCCCTTCATGCTCTTGGATTTGATTCGATCAAAGTGATTCCAAGTATTGGAAGATCTGGGGGAATTGTAGCAGCATGGAAGAGTAACAATATTCAGATTAATGTTTTGGTTGAGAATCAACAATTTTTCCATTTGGATTGTGAGATACCAGGTAAATCTTCTTTTTTCCTCACTGCCATCTATGCCATTCCTCATTCAAATAATAGACAGCTACTCTGGAATTCCTTGCGGCATTTTTCTTCGGCAATCTCAAAGCCTTGGGTGGTTTATGGTGACTTTAATGATATTTTGCATGCTTCAGAACGGATTGGAGGGAGTGGGTGCAACTTTAGTCGAATTAATTGGTTTCAAGATAGAGTTCGAGAATGTGGGTTATCTGATTTGGGGTTCAATGGACCGCGTTTTACTTGGAAAGGACTGAAGATTTCTGGGTGTTCTCGTCTATACGAACGTCTAGACAGAGCTTTTGTGAATGATGAGTTTCTGCTTCGAATTCCAGAAGGTAGTTTAAAGGTTCTTCCCAGAACTCTCTTCTCGGATCATAATCCTTTGGTTTTATATCTTCCTACTCAAAGTAATGTTAATAGAGGGATAAAGCCTTTCCGCTTTGAAGCAATGTGGCTTCAACACGAGAACTTTAAAGATTTTCTGTGTGAAGCCTGGAAAAATAATGGCATTATCTCTGAGTCGTTAGCTGATTTAAAGAATGATCTTTTGGATTGGAATAGAAGCACTTTTGGTTTTGTTGAACAGAAGAAGAGAACAATTTTGAGTAGGTTGAAAGGAATCCAGAACTCCTCGGCCTATCCTTTTTCTCTCTTTCTGCGTAACCTGGAAAAAGAGTTACAGTCTGATTTAGAACAATTATTGAAGTGGAAGAGATCAAATGGTTTCAAAAAGCCAGGACTGAGTGGATTACACGAGGTGATAGGAACACTAGATACTACCATCTCAGGACTAAGTTAAGAAGAAGGAGGAACAAGATCATGACATTGAAGGATGACCAGAATCGGTGGATTGAAGATGAAGTTGAAGTTAAGGCTCTGGTTCTTAATTATTTTAAAAATCTTTATATTTGTGAGGAGCAGTCTTCTTGTGTTCTATTTACGAGGACTAGTTTCCCCTTGATAGATAGATCCACCTTGTTTGATATGAGCAGAGCACCTTCCGTTGAGGAAGTCAAAAGTGCGTTATTTTCCATGGGCCCTTATAAAGCACCAGGAGTAGATGGTTTCTCTCCTATCTTTTATCAGTCCAACTGGAGTATTGTAGGAGCAAAGCTATGCGATTTTGTTAGAGAAGCTTTTCTTACCAAAAATGTGGAGGTGGAAGATAACAGAACGCTTATTTCTTTGATTCCTAAGAATGAGAATCCTCAGTTGGTGGGTCATTTCAGACCTATTTCCCTTTGTACGGTGCACTATAAATGCATAACAAAGATTATTGCTATTAGATTAAGGTCTGTCATGGATAACATTATTTCTCCTTATCAAACTAGTTTTATTAAAGGGAGAAATATTCAAGATAACATCATTGTGGGGTAAGAGATTATGCATATCATGAAGAAATCAAAGGGCAAAAAAGGTTTGATGGCTTTGAAGATTGATTTGGAGAAGGCGTATGATAGGATTAGATGGGATTTCTTGCAGCAAGTTTTATTAGAAGTAAGATTTGATGATGGGTTTGTTAATTTAATTAAAGCCTGTGTCTCTTCTATTACTTATAATGTGCTTTGGAATGGATCTCAAACTGAGTATTTTTCTCCAATGAGGGGACTCTGGCAAGGGGACCCTATTTCTCCCTTGCTGTTTGTTTTGTGCATAGATAAGCTCTCGCACTTGATCTGTGATGCAGTTAAAGATGGTAGTTGGAAACCAGTGAGAGTGGCAAAAGAAGGACCGTCTATTTCTCATTTAATGTTCGCCGATGATATTTTGCTTTTTGGAGCTGCAACGGAACAACAAGCTTTATGTATGATGAGTTGTTTGAATAAATTTTGTTTGGCTTATGGGGAGAAAATTAGCAAAAGTAAGTCTACTATTTTCTTCTCGCCAAGAGTTCCAGCTGGGACTAAGCAGAGAATTAAAGAGATTACTGGGATGAATATTTCTACAAAAATTGGAAAATATCTGGGGTTTCCAATCACTAGATTGAGGAAACCGACAGATACTTTTCAGTTTATTATTGATAGAGTGAAGTCAAAACTTGCTGGTTGGAAAGAAAATTGCCTTTCGATGGCTGGACGCATCACTCTTGCCAAGTCGGTACTCAGTGCTATTCCTTTATACCCTATGCAAGTGTCAAAAATTCCTATAGTTGTATGTCATGAAGTGGAAAGATTGCAAAAGAAGTTTATATGGGGACATAGTTAGAGTCTACATGGTTTTCATCCTATTAGATGGGATCAAATGGTGTTGCCAAAACTCTATGGAGGACTGGGTTTCAAGCGATTGACTACTGTTAATCAGGTTTGCGGGGCCAAATTAGCATGGAAGCTGGTGACCGGTGGAAAAGGTCTTTGGGCTGAGGTTTTGCTTCATAAGTACATGTTGCGCAGTGAGGATAATCTCTTAGAGGTTCATCCGAGTGACTCTTGTCTGTGGAAATTTATAGCACAGCAGCGTCATATTGTTGATATGGGTATGAAGTGGAGTATTCGAAATGGCCATTCTGTGAATTTCTTTAATGATTGCTGGCTTTTTCCTGACAGAAAAGTTAAGGATCTGTGCCTTCGTCCTTTAACGGAAGAAGAAAATAATAGCAAAGTTGCAGATTGGGTATCTTATGGAGCCTGGGATTTTCAGAGATTATCAAATCTAGTTCCAAACTGTGTGTTTCAACGCCTTATTACAACGTTACCTCCTTTGGAAGGGGCGGGGGATGATATTCTATCCTGGAATGCTACTGTTGATGGGGCATTTACTCTAAAAAGTGCTTATTACATGGTTGAAAAAAATCCTCCAAATACTTATAGTTCTGTTTACAAGGCTATATGGAAATGGAGGGGAGCTGAGCGCATACGCGTTTTTATGTGGATCGCCTTCAATAATAGACTACCCACAAACGCCTGGCGAAGCAAATGGTCTGCAACACAGGATATTTGTCCTTGCTGTAATTCTGGGTCAGAAGATGTGTTACACATCTTCAGAGATTGTGAATATGCTAGTGGCTTGTGGAAACATTTAGTTCATCCCAAGTATCACTCTGCTTTTTTTGCTGCACACCTGCGTGACTGGTTTGCTCTGAACCTTAAGAGGGACCTCGGTAATATTTCTAATGGTAACTGGAACTTATTATGGGGAGTGAGTATTTGGAAGCTGTGGTTGTGGAGAAACAATAGTATCTTTAATGATGATTTTATAAAACCTTCAAATCCAACAGCTGTAATTATGCAGACTTGGCGACACTTTGTGCAAATACAGGAGATGAATTCGGCCCTAAACCAATCACGGGGACAAGTGCCAGCTTGGCAACCACCTCCTATTGGGTGGTTTAAATTGAATGTAGACGGTGCAATGGCTATGTCAAAGAAAATGGCAGGGTGTGGTGGAGTGGTTAGAGATCACATGGGCAATTGGGTGGTTGGTTTTTCTCATTATCTTGGCACAAGTTCGGCACAAGAGGCTGAGGAGTGGGCTATCTATAGAGGTCTCCAACTTGCTTGGGACTGTGGATTCAAGAAAATAATCATTGAGTCAGATGCTAGAAATATTGTGGATCTCTTAAAGAACAGCACGATTAATTCAAGAGGTAGTCTTCTCACCATGCAGATTTCAAGTCTTATGAGACTGGATTGGAGTTTACAGTTGAAAGCTATTCCAAGGGAGCAAAACCAGCTTGCGGATGCACTTGCCAAAGAGGGTCTCTCTAGATCTTCATTTTTTGGTTCCTGTCCACCGAATTTACTAGATTTAGTGGCTAGCGAAAGAGTGGGATCTGATTCCCCCATGAGTTGATCTTTTTCGGTTTTGGACATTTTGTCATCTCTTGTACAAAAAAAAAAAATTAGTCAACTGGTTTTTATAATTAAGACTGGACGAAGTATAACGAAAACGAAGCAAAAAAAAGGTTTTATGTAAATAATACCCCTCCACATTTGTTATAGAAAATCATACAAACGTCAAAGGAGGATGAGATAATTTTGATATGTGACGCGACTCTCCCACCTTCACCAACATGGGAACGGTTGCGATGGCGGTTTCGCAATTATGGGCAAATGTGGGAGCCGTCGTGCTCGAAATTAGAGGGTGCGGCCACAACAACCAAATCGAACCAGAAGCGGCATCGGAGCCGCCGAGTCGGAAACTAAAAGGAAGCCCTCGGCTGAACCGCTGGTCGAGGGCTCGAGCGCTTCGCTCCGGTCGCAAATTAGACCGCCCTACTCCCCAAATTCAGACCGTCCAATCCGATGCTTCTCTACCTCCCATCACTCTGTCTCCTGATACAGATGCGTCTGATATCGACGTTGTGGAGGGCGTGGAGGTGAGGGTGTCCAAGTCCATTTATATAGTCTCCGACGGAACTGGTTGGACGGCCGAGCACTGCGTTAACGCTGCCTTGGGTCAGTTTGATTACTGCTTGGTCGATCATGGATGCCCTCTCAGTACCCACTTGTGTGCTGGTGCTTGCAAGCCTGCTGGTTAAATTGCTGATTTTTTTTAAAAAAGGAATTGCATAATGAAAGATAATATTTCTCCATATTATAAAATAAAAAGGCTGTAACCCCGAGGGGTTAGGTCAGCTGGCTGGAGCTGTCCTAGCTTAACCACGGGTATTGAGTTCGAGCCGTGAGAACGCAGCACCCTGAGGGGCCAGAGGGCGCCAACCGAAAGGTTCCTTGCAAGCCTTCGATCCGGATTAGTCTGGGACCGCTGTCACGGCTGAAAGATGCCTATTGCCCTGGGATACCGGATGGAAAAATCCAAAAAAAAAAAAAAGGCTGTATGCTCTTCCTGCTATATTTTCTGGAAAAGTGAATAAAAATGTAGAGTACAGGATTTGTTTGAAATATACTTCTTCAGTCCTTAATATAAGACCCATTTAATTAATTTGATTAGATTAAAAAAGTTAGGTAAGTTAGTTAATTATAAGAAATGTGACACATTTTTCTTAAAATAACATAATCATCTTTCTTAATACCCTCTCTCTCTCTTCTACTTAATTATGGTTGAGGGAGTATTTATAAGAGTAATTTAGAAAAAATTGATAAATATGAGAAATGGATATTATATTTAGGACCAAACTTAACTCAACTCAACAATTGGGTCTTACAATAAGGACTGGAGGAGTAGTATATACTAGTGTTACATTTTGCAGAAGCATGATTATGTTGGTTAATGATACATTTGAAATTTTTTGAATACAACAAGGTTTGACTAAAGATAATGGGCGAGTGATTTTGCCTGCTCTTAAGAGAAATTTTTTCATACCGTTTATGTTACTCTTCCTAATTTTATATCAGTTCATTATATCGAAATATGTTAAATTAAATTTGCGAAAAAATGTTAATAAGATTAAATGATAAAAGAATTAAAAAAATGAATCAACTATATCATTTCTGCTTCCTTTATTTAAAGATTGTTCCTCAAAGTAAATTTCAGAAAAAAATTTCAATCAAGCCAAATTTCTCAAACATCAGTTTTTGGATAAAAATTTCTTACAAAGTTATGTTAAGAACATATAACGAAAATGAAGCAAAAAGAGGTTTTATTTAAATAATACTGCTCCACATTTTGTTATCGAAAATCATACAAACGTCAAAGCAGGATGAGATAATTTTGATATATGACGCGGCTCTCCCACCTTCACCAACATGGGAACGGTTGCGATGGCGGTTTCGCAATTACGGGCAAATGCGGGAGCCGTCGTGCTCGAAATCAGAGGGTGCGGCCACAACAACCAAATCGAACCAGAAGCGGCATCGGAGCCGCCGAGTCGGAAACTAAAAGGCAGCCCTCGGCTGAACCGTTGGTCGAGGGCTCGAGCGCTTCGCTCCGGTCGCAAATTAGACCGCCCTACTCCCCAAATTCAGACCGTCCAATCCGGTGCTTCTCTACCTCCCATCACTCTGTCTCCTGATACAGATGCGTCTGATATCGACGTTGTGGAGGGCGTGGAGGTGAGGGTGTCCAAGTCCATTTATATAGTCTCCGACGGAACTGGTTGGACGGCCGAGCACTGCGTTAACGCTGCCTTGGGTCAGTTTGATTACTGCTTGGTCGATCATGGATGCCCTCTCAGTACCCACTTGTTTTCTGGGGTAATTTGTCCTGCACTTCTCCTTTGCTACGTATTTTCTTCAATCTTGAGTTCCAAACACGATTTAATTTCTGTTTGGGGTTTGTGGTAACATTTCATAGGCCGTACTAAATAGTTGGGAGTAAGCTAATTTACCCCCCTTTTGAGTTACGTGTTGCATTTCTAATATCACATTCTGTGAATGCGAAAGTGTGTCATCTAGTCAATGAGCAAGTCTCAAGTAAATCTTTTTGGCTTTGTTTTTTAAGTAGTTTTCTTGGGAGGGTGGGGGTGTGAATTTTGGTTTATAAAATGAAAGTTAGATCCCCCCCCCCCCGGGTCGCCGTCTCGTACGCAATTGCAATTGTTGTCCAACGGGCAACAGTAATGTGATTGGTGGTAGGTTGAGCGTGCCCTGCAAAGTGACAACCAAAAAAACTAGAAGTAAATTGGACACCTTCTAAGTTGGTTCCCTGTACCTTGCATTATATGTCTAACTTAGTGCACACCTAGACAAGAATTTAACTGCTAACGTGAGTTATTCAAGGCAGAGGAAGCGGGGGGAAATGAAAATAATACCATAACTAGGTAATATATGTTGACGCGTTGCGCTGATTTTACTCAATTATTGTCAGATTGATGATGCGGAGAAATTAGTGGAGATCTTAAAGCAGGCAGCCAAGGAAGATGCTTTGGTTGTGTATACTTTAGCTGACCCTTCGATGGCTGCATACGCTAAGCAGGCTTGCAAGTTATGGGGTGTACGATCCACTGACGTATTAGGTCCAATAATTGAGGAAATTTCTTCTCATCTTGGGGTCTCACCATCTGGGCTTCCCCGTGGGGCTTCTGGCCGGAACCTTCCACTTTCTGATGAATACTTTCGCCGTATTGAAGCTGTTGAATTCACCATCAAGCAAGATGATGGGGCATGTCCCCAGAATTTGGCCAAGGCTGACATTATTCTTACTGGTGTTTCGCGGACTGGCAAGACGCCATTATCAATTTATCTAGCACAAAAAGGTTACAAAGTGGCAAATGTACCCATTGTGATGGGTGTGGAAATGCCAAAGACTCTTTTTAAGGTAGATGTAAGCAAGGTTTTTGGCTTAACTATAAACCCCGTAGTCCTGCAGAACATAAGAAAAGCAAGGGCTAGAACTCTGGGATTCAGTCCAGAATCAAGGAGCAATTACTCAGAGATGGATTATGTTAGACAGGAACTGGAATTTGCGGGAAGACTCTTTGCTGAGAACCCTGTCTGGCCAGTGATTGGTAAGAAATCTAGTGCGATCATGTTCCCATTTCTGTGCCTTTTCACTCTTTATATGTTCCTATGAATTTTTATTTGTAAAATATCATAATTACACAATAGTAATTATTGTGATTTTTTTTCTTATTTCTTTCAATTAGCCTCTAACAGAACCGTAATCTGTTGCTCCAACTTCAGATGTGACGGGAAAAGCAATAGAAGAAACTGCAGCGGTTATATTGAGGCTCTACCATGACCGGAGGCAAAAGTTCATGATGCCAAGGATCTCAAAACGCTATTAAAGGTGACAATTTTGTTTGCCTGATGTTAAACCACTAGTTGTAAAGTCTCGAATTGTATATTGTGTAATGTAGTTATATAATGCGAATTTCATTATTCCATATCAGTGTATAGTAGAGGAGGGTAAAATGTTACCATCAATTTTAAAGTTTTGGTCCACAAATGCTTGCTCTTACAAAGAATGCTTATTAATCTGCCACGTCAAAAGTTGAATAGTATCTTAATAGGTCCAGAAACCGAGCATATACCTAAAAGGTGTTTGCTTTGATGACCCTGGTGGGAACTGTGAAACTGCAAATCCATACATTAGTGAATGTTGGTGGCATTTCTTCATCAGCGGAAATTCTCATGGATTTAATCGATAATGGGAAATGCGCTTTTGTTAACCTTCAAGCTGAAGGAAGTGCTATTATATCAAATCAATCAAAGATTTCTCGATGGCTTCATATACTAACTGTTAAAACATCAGCATAAGCAAGCTTCTAAGTGGATGAAATTTTGGACATCGATTGTCTTTATTATGGCCCATCTTATTGGCAGTACCTGTCAAATTATATCGTGAGGTTTTTGAATAACCTCTTACGAATTCTTGATCAGTAGTGTCTAGTGCACGCAGGGTTGGTAGTATTCCGTACCTAACACTTCGCATCTGAAATTGCTCAAAGTAACTCTGATCTTTCATACCTAACCTATGACAGTACTGAAAGCGTCCATAGACAAAAGAACATTGTTTGTCCCGGAAAAGGCAATCGTGGACTGCCCTACTTCTTACAAAAAGTTAATAGCTCTCGAACACGCGCGTTCATGCCTCCTGTCTACGCAAACACCTGATTATGGCTGTCACAAGCATAATTTTGTTCTCAACTTTTGTTTATTTGCTCACATGAAAGTTACAAGCTCAAAATTGCACCTACGATTAGGATTGCATGTAAGAACCAAATACAAAAGAACAGAACAGCATGATCCAAGGAAGGAAAAAGCAAGGCTAAATAAAGTGGCCAGGGAGAGGAGAACAGTGACACTCTAATCCTTCACTGAGCCGTGCAATACTAAAAAACACGACATATTTCTAAGTGGATTCTGTTTCACGTCTTCTGTTGTTTCCCATTCCTCTAAGTGGAAGTGAGTATGACTTTGCAATGACATCATGAATTCGCCAAAGAGTTGAATCCCTAGAGCTGAGTGTTAACTGATTTTGACGTCAAGAAGGTTGTAGAAATTTCATCGGCTTATAAACGCCAGCAGTTTTATCTTCGGTGAACTGATTTCCTCTTCTGCCTTAAGCTGCAATTCTTCTGCAAGAAAATTTTTAGATACACATAATGTATCATTTGGCTGTAGAATGAAGCAACGAAAACCTGTTAAACCGAGTGTTCAGGGAGGCAATGAGTTCCACTATCACTGAAGCACCCGTTTTGATTTGTTTTTATTGGCTCCTAGTACTGGCTGGTTGTTAACTAGGACTTCTGAGAATTTCTGTCCTTCCGTGAAACTTGTATTGTAAATGTTCAATCCTTGGTTTCTAACTTATATATCTTCACTTCAGATGCATGGTCCTCCGGTTATCTCATTGCTGCCAATCAACCCCATTTTCATCACTTTGCTTGCCCATTGCAAGGGTGAAGTATATCAACAACATAGTTCCCATGCTTGACCTGTGTTAAAAGCAGAACCAGACATTAGGAATTGAAGGGAATATAACAGACGAGGCCATGAATGGAGCTGTATCATATATATCTTACAAGGTGGCAAAGAACAGAAGAACCCTCCTAGGATCGAGGATCCGGAAAGAAGGCCTCTTGAAACTGTTTCGCCGGGATACTCCTTTGCTTTCAATGGCCGTGGCGGCTGCGGCGGTGGTACTGATATTGCTGGTTGTGATGGTAATCTGATGATGGACCTGTGAATTGGTGGAGTGATCAGTGGACCCTACGGTCACCATCCCGGGCTTTTCAGGCGTGCAAGACCCCATCAGAGTAGCTGCAGATCAATGATACCGTACCCCAACATTAATACAACAAATTTGTTGGTTCGCAAGCTTGTTCAAGTCTCTGCCATAGCCAATTCTCGTGGCCCCACTCAGGGGTATTATCATGGTACAAATACACCCTTATAATCTGTACCCCTACCAAACTAGGAGGATTTACTTGGTAATATTGGGGAAAAGTCTCCCATTAAAGTGGGAAGAACCTAAATGATACTACATGTATATAAAAGTTGCAAAGTATTAGGTTCTTTTCACCAATAAAATTTGAATCTAGTATAAGAGATTCATCAAGATTACAGCAAGACTCAAAGCGTTTGCAGAAGTATTTCCATATTATTCATTAATAAGATTCTTATTTCCAAAAAAACTTGTATCTTTACCAGACATGGGTCAACTTCTTGTTAACAGATCAGTTTTCAAATATACTTATCAAAGGATTTGTTGGCATTTCCTGTTTTGCTATGAGTGATTTTTCAAATAAATTTATTTATTAGAAAAGGGGTAATAAGATAGTTCCACTGTGAAAGGTAGGTTTCGTGTTAGTTGGACACTTCAACTAATTTTCCCATTACTTGAATACCGAGGTGGTTGGTTTTACATCAAATCAGTTTCTTCCACGCTATGGTAACAAGTAAATCTTACTTAATAAAGTGGTAAAAGGGGTTGATGCACAAATCATCTTTTAAGTACAAACAAGTTAATGAAAATTCTTATTTATGAATAGATGAGTATATGATTACCAACCATGTTTGAATGTCGTTTCCTAGAACCATGGTGGATCTGGGATTATGGCTTATAATAATAATGATTATAAGTATAATAATAAGATCAGAATCATTAACATTAACAACAAGATGAGACCTGACACTAAGGAGACACCACCATGGGCTGACACACAATTACAGGTTGGTGATGGAAAATATTAATATTAATATTTACTAATATTTAATTATTATTATTACACATCACCGTACACGGACCTAAGCTAAGGTATGGTGATATTATAATTTTATGGCCATCTACAAGATGCGATTTCGTCTTTAAAAAAAAAAAAAGGAAGAAAACAATAAATGATTTTGTATATATTTTTGTAAAGGGCAGTGGTACCTTTAGGTGAGCCTGTTGTAGGGACACTATCCCTATCATGAAGGGCAGCACTGCCATTGATCTTCTTGTCGCCCCCACGCTGAGATCCTTTCCTGGAAAGGTTCCTCTGCAACTATTTTTTGCTTTTTTAAAATAAAGACAAATTTTTTCTAAACTAATAGTGGCCCTGGCCAAAAAGATCTAAACTGGAACCAAGTTCAACCTATTAGGTGTCTGGTTAAATTATGAAACTTAAAGTAATTGCCTTTGTTATTTTTTTTTTCCCACAAGAACACAAGAGAATAACAATTAATTGCTTTGGATATTGAAAAATGCTACAGTGGCCGAAAAAGTACAGTAAGGGGCATGTTGGGGAGGGGTTAAGTAGGAGTTACACAAAGTGAAAGACGGTTTAATTAATTAAAAGGCTGCTCTAATTTCAACGTTTCATTAATTTTAAATTGAGAAAAGGGATAGAGTCTGAAGAGAGAGTAATAAAGCTTGAGAAAGACATTCTGTTGCAATGGCCGTAAACTTTAATGGAAGTTGATGGCAAGCTGAAAGCAACGCCGTGTTATCTGAGCCAAGTTTTAATTTCTGGTGAAGAATTAAGAAATTATTTTTTCATTAAAAAAAAAACTTGGGATTGACAGTTTCAAATTATAGATAGTAATGGATAGATTCGAAGGAAAAAGTGGTAAAGTATGAATTAAATTAATCGAAAGAAGAAAAAAGCTTACTGTAATTCTGGAATTGGGATTGTTATCTTTATTGATGGTGGAAGGGAAGGCGTCCATGTCAATCACAAAGTTATCAGATTTCTCGGGTGTGTATTGAAATGCGTCCATGTGATCTGAAACTGAGATTTTCTGGTTCGCCCTGTTCTGTTCTGAGGACGAAGAACCTGAGTCCTGAAAAAAGCAGAGTTATGAAGGATCTGTGAGTGGAAATTATGAGGATGATGAAGAATGACCAGAAATTCAATGGAACAGTTTTGGCGATGAAAATTGAGAGATAACCCAGAAAACGAATACTCACCAACTTTGGAATTTCCGCCATTTCCGTCGCTTTCAAAGGAGGAAACTGAAAAAACCGGAAGTCAGAACGGAGGAACAAATACCAAAAAGGATCAATCACAGACACTGAAAGATAATCCAGAAGATTCTTCCTTCTTCTCGAAAACCCTTCCCCACTTACAGAAGATAAGGTCTTCGTCTTCAAAAGTAGCTGGGTCTCCTCTGCTTTATGTTTAAGAAGCTGGCTTCAACGAGAAACACGGTGTGAAGCTTGTTTGTTTGTCGAGAAAATTGTACGAGTATAATCGAGGGCGAACTGACATATACCTACTCTGTTTCTGGTGGGATTAACCAGGATGATTTTTCTTGGGAGGATGAACCGATACGAAAAGAAATTATGAGCAAGTTGAAGGAGGAACAAGACGAAGAAAGAGCAGGAGTGAGGGTTGGAAATTTCAGCCGGTCGTCATATGGCCTATATATATACGCGCCCACACACATATATATACATACGTACATACTGTGTGTGTGTGCGTGAGAGAGAGAGAGAGAGAGGAAAAAAATTGATATTGATATGGTGGAATTGTTGAGGTTTGTCCCCGTGAAGTTAACGTTTAGCCGATGATCACGTCTCCGGAGTATGTTTTAAGGTGATTGACTGACGAAAGTCACCAGTTAATCCCTTCGTCGTTATCCTTAACCCCTACTTCCACCCGCCGTTTCTTTTTTCACAAATAGAATAAGATATAATAAAGTAATAAAGGAATAAATTAATAAAGTTGAAAAAAATGAAATTCATATTTGCAACTCTTAAATAAATATTTTATTTAATATTTTTTATCTTCTTTAAGAGTAATTTTAAAATTCATTTCTTATTGATGCCACTCTGACTATTTCAAATAACGGGTTCAGGCGTGGGTAAACGTCAATGATTTTGAAAAAAAAAAGAAAAACTAGTAAATTTAATCTAGAAAAATATATTCTTTCATTCCGAAAGCTTTCGGGTCAGCTTGGGTCAGCGTTTTTGTATAATTTTCATTATGAAATTAGTCATTATAATGATTATGAGCTTTGATAAAAATTCTTGACAATATTGTTGTTACTGATGTGATGCAGTAATAGTGTTTGGTAGTGGAAGTAATTTTAATTCAAGATAACCAAAAATTGATTTCTTGATTAAAAAATTACATAAGCTTGAACCAAATTGATAACGATTATGGGGACAAAAAATTATATTTTTCCCTTTAATCTAATTTAACATATTATCACAAAATTTGACAGAACAATAACAGCTATATGATAATTTATATATTATAATATTGAAATTTAGTTTACTTTTTACGCCATTTGATAATGATAATTCGATAACAAAAACAAGAAAAAGCAATTGAAATTTTCAGGAAAAAAATAAATAATACCACAAAGCCTTTTTTTTTTTGGTGATCTAGGGCAGATTGAGGCCTATGCCCTCCGCGATTCTCCCCGATATAGCGCCTTTTCCTGAGTTCCTGGCCTTCTAAACTGGACCATAACCCGGGGCAACTGACTAATCCGGAATGGGGTATTTTTTAGGCACGCCCATGTAAGGTGCTTTACACCAAAGGCAATAAATCCCTCCCAACAAGCACGGCTCCAGGTTCAAACTCTCGTCTGTCTGGGGTGTGTCAGTGACCACTGCACCCAACGCTTGGTAGTAATACCACAAAGCCTTTGCATCAACTGATAAGAAATCATTCCTGCTTAATTAATTAACAAGTAGTTTTGTGTGCAAGTTTTGAGTATGCAGCCACAATAATTATTTAGAGGTAGTAAGGCACCCCATTTGCTCGAATGCCTGATAATGGAATTCAAAATCAATATAATAAAAGTAATAATAACAACAGGTGTTTTTTCGAAAATCAAGTATCCTGATGGAAACATTGCGAATTGATAATATATGTCGTACCTAATAATTCAGCAATAATATAACATCACGCAAGGATGACAAAGAAGCAAGTTTTGGTCAACGATTTGACAGCAAAGGTGGGGATTATCCATTTCCATTAATCCTTTATTATTTTACACTAAATACGCCAATGATGGTGCCCATTAATAATATCAACTTATATAAAAAGCAGAAAATAGGAGAAATTACATATTAAACATCGTCAAAAATGGGAGGTTACATATTTATATGTGACGCCTCCTTTATTTATGGTACGTAAAATGAAATAAATAGCTAAGTATATTTAGTGAAGACGTCAAGTAAGTATCACGAGGAACTACAGACTTTTCCACCCAAATCTTAGTCGTTACTTCTATCCCTATTTTCCCTTTATTTCTGTGTTTTGATATGGAAAATCAGAAAATGACACCGCAATATATATATATATATATATATATATATATAAAACACACTTATGTAGCTTGTTGAATTCCATTTAATTATAAACAATAAATAACATAATTTCTGAATCCTATTATATAACTGCTAATCAAGTTTAAGAGATTATTCTTTTCTTGCCGCTTGCCCCTTAATTAAATCATTTTTTGAAATTATCTATGAGAACGATTCCTGAGAGAACAAAGGCACTCTGAGAATTGCCTATTTTTGGTCAATGCCATCAAAAAGAATTATATATATATATATATATATAATTGATGCACTTTTTGTTGGTATGGTACATAGGATAGCATTTGATAGATGTGCAGATCATAAAGAAATAATAGAAATGCGTAGGCTTAAGCTTTTCAGAAAATAACAGATTCACCAGCTTCTGAAATTTGCATGCTTTTAACAGTGTAAATGTATATAGCCGCGACTTGCAAATACTCCACTCGTTAATTACATTTAAATTGGGCAAAAAAAAAAACTAAATTGGAAAAATAGGAAAATGACAAAAAAATACACTTGTTGAATTTCAAAAAAATAAATAGATTATGCTGATCCTTCTTATAATAATTTTGAGATGTCAAAATCACCTATTTAACATTTTAAAATTTAACAGGTATTTTTTAATTATTTTTCCAAAAAACGTATTGTATAATTTATAATATAAATGAGAACTTTAAAGTTTCACACAGCAAATTATAAACAGCGTGTTTGCTAATAAAGCATAAAAGTTTATATATATATTGTTATTATTCAAGCAATAATAACGTTTCAGGTCTGTTAAATTCTGAATATCTATATATAGTAAGTATCTGTTACCTTAAAAATAGATGGTTATTCAGAAATAATTTCAAATAGATAATATGTTGGTTACACGGTACTCTTCATGATCTATTCAAATATAAGAAAGTAAAGCTTCATGCTTACTCCAAAAACCTGCCATCATTTTTTTTCATCTAACCAAAAGAAATTCAATGTTGACAGTTGAGTGGTCAGAGGAAAGGAAAGGCACAAAGGTTACCTAACTTGAGAAAATTTCAATTATAGAAACCTGAGAGATCAATATGATTCACTTAAAATTTCAAACTGCGAAAAAAAAAAAAAAAACCAAAAAACCTCCAACATCAAAGATTTTTGGCCTAGAAATATTCTTAACTGATGATTGGCTTATTTCCATCGGGACGTGAAACTTTTGGAAGAACCTTTCGCAATAAGGATTTAAATATATATATATATATATATATATATATATATAACACTACTTTTTCAAACTTATTTTACAAATTAAATACCACCTCCATTACTTAATATAAGAGCTAATTGACTAATTTAAGTAAAATAAAAAAATAGTTAAATTAGTTATTTCTAATAAATAAGTGTTGTTTTCCTTAAAATATCTTTACTAATAATATATTAGCTAGAATTACAATTTGATGAAATATTTAATATATGTAACTATTAAGGACTATTGGAAAAAAAAAATAAATATGAGAGACAAAGTGGATTGGGATAATATACTTAGAATCAAACTAAATATTAAACTAGCTCTTATATTAAAAACAGGAGGTAGTATATCATATGAGGATTTAATTCCTGTATGGATTTTGAGCTAGGGACGTGTAATTAAATAAAGAGAAGCACATCCTAGTAATTATGAAAACGTGAGCACGCATATGAGTTGGCGCAAGTGGTTAAAGAATCCGAACCCGGCTGACTCGCTTTGACCACCATTAATTAATTATGATCGATCTACAAATAAAATTATGGTTAATTACAATCATATATAGTTACAGATATATCATTTCTGGCTTGACAATATATATTAAACATATACAACAATCTCAAGTAAAATTAATTAGCCGACCGATGAGTAAAGCTCGTTAAATCATCACTTAGGTAAGCTCTTGAATATGATATGATTATTTGTTTCCCTCGTGAAACAAGGACGATATATTTATCCCAAGTCTCATTATTAAGTCAAAGGATGCTTCAGTAAGCAATCCTTGTGATCTTCAATTACAGCTACTTAAGACCTACTGATCAGGTAATTAATTATATTCAAAACAATAATATAATATAACATAATGTAATATAATATAATACTACCGGTTCTAAATATAAAACCCTTTTTCTAGTGTAAATTACACTCTAAAAAGAGTCTTATATTTAAGATCAGAGGAGTGTAATATAAAGGCGTATCATGCCAAAGCCATATGTGGAGGGACTAAGCTCCTCACTATCATAATTATACCAATTGATATTAAAAGTTCAAGATTTTTTATATCGGTTTACCCCTATTGTAGTGCTTTTTAATTGCTGTAAAGAAATGCTTTTTTTTTTTTGGTGCAGGTGAGCATTCAGTTAATCCCGAAAAAATTATTGAACCAGACAAGTAGAAATGAGAAGGCTCAATCATTTGATGAATTATTATAAATAGTAACTATGAAAGGACACTATATGATGGACACCCATATATAGTAATGCCTAGAATATAAACGCAGAATATAAAACCTAGAAAATTATGACAAATAGCATTACATGAAGGCAGTGTAGCTTTCAGATCTATGTAGAAATACAAGGGCAAGTTGCCAACTAAAGACTCTGAAAGCATATTCAAGGGTGTAGAGTCGTGGAACGAGGAGATATTTTATATATATATATATATATATATATATATATATATATGAAGGAGCTCATGATCTATCCATCACATACATGTGATGATGGTTCTGTGTGTTTTGTATGTTTGCTTCTAATAATATAAGTAAATCCAATGTTCATAGTTCACTTTATTCATCTTTCACATTGCTTTGTCCTTTTGTTCCTCACTTGTCAATTCTCTCTCCTTTTCATCACAACTCATTGTCCCGCGCTTTTAATTCTCACTTCACAACTTCATCATCTCCTCATCTTTCTATA